AATATTATTGAAAACGCAAATCGATTCAATTATGACGCTTTTTGATTGCTCAAGTTGATAATATTATTTTTCAATTGCGCGTATAGCATAAAATTTTGATTCGAAACTTAAGCTGAGTCGATACGCTACCGTTTATGAAAATTTCGTCGAAAGGATATCCGGATTTAAAAAAAAAAGAATTATATTTCTGAACTATATTTCTATCTGAAGGCATGGTTTTTTATAACTTATCATTTGACACGGCTCTAGGATTTTTTGGGGGGGGGGGGATTTTTAAACAATTTGCCGACAATTTTTTTATTTTTTTTTATTTTAAAGCGCCTTAAAAAACTTTCTAGGGTCAGTCAGCCAAAAATGGTGATCTTAAAATAGTACCAGAGGCGAGACCCTTTCGGTAGTCAGGGCGTCGAATCCCTGAGAAGAAAAGGTGTTCTGTGAAACTGCAACTAAAAGTTTTTTGTGCGTTGTTAGGCCTGCGGCAGCGATCTTATTGAGTTTGAAAATTGATTTTTTTTGTTAGAAGTTAAAGATTGATAATTTTTGCAATTCTTATCAATTTTTGCAAATACTTTACTTTTAATCAGAAAAAATGGTATATTATAAAGAAGAAAGCTTTTCTCTAGAAGCTCAACCTGTGAGATAACAACTAAAATTTTTTGTGCGTTTTCAGACGTCTTTTAACAATTTATCTGTTTTTTTTTTCTTAGGACGATCAAGTTTTTGTTGAAGTGATAAAAAATGAACTTGAAAAATTCTTCTTTTTGATTAAAGTAACGGATTGATAAAGTTTGCAATAGATCAAATTTTGCTGCAGCTTCTATCAAAAGTATTCTTTAATCAGAGGCTAAGTTCTATTATATTTCCTGTTAGAGTTGTTATCTTTTCTTCCGCAAAAAAAGCAGTTATGTAAATTAAAATAAAAAAAAACGGTGCCACTGATAGCTGGACCAAAACCTAATGGTATTGGGAGCAAATACATTTTAAACTAAATGTTTTATATCATATAATCGAAACAAATAGAGTGCAATTCCAACAAGAAAATTAGTTTAAGAATGTTAAACAGAATTGCCCCGTTTATTCTATGAAAGATGAAAAATTTGTCAAAACTATAGCTTTGGTGTTTTGAATTTTTGCCTCTTCTGATTGCCTATGTAAAGAATTAATTTTCCCATTTGAGACTTGCAGGGAGTTGTTAAGAGCAAGTAATATGCCGTAAATTAGTTTTGTAGGTGGTACCCGCACTGACAAAAATGGTTTCGGACCGATTTAAATTGATTTTAAATCGATTTTAAATCAATCCAGGTCGATTAACAATGTACATTTTAGGAACTTAATTGGAGTTTAACTTGATTTAATTTGATTTTTCTTGACTTGAAGTTATAGAAAATCATCAATGTAAATCAGTTTATGGTCAAAAACTTATGTAACAACACAGGAAATTAGTCAAAATAATAGTCTCAAGGAATTGGGAAACTCAAGCTTAAAAAAACATGAATATAAAATGAATCAAGAAGAAAAGTCCCTACTCAGAACCAAGTTAACATCCTCCCCCCCAAACGGCTTTGGGGGGAGGGGCTGTGGAGGAGGATGTAAATTTGGTCCTAATTTTCTCAGCAATTAACAAAGTAATTTCAGCGTAATTCTTGACTAAATAAAAAAAGCCAAACTGATCCATTTCCGGGGTAAAATTTTGGTTGAGAGTTTCGGAGAACTTGTCTAATTGTAATCCAATTTGAGAAAAATGCGTTTGAAGTTTCAATTTTTGTTCGTTTTTTTTCGGATAACTTAATTCAGCACTGTGCAAATCAAGCCGAGTGAAGCAGCAACTGACCAAGAAGGGGGGGGGGGGGCGGACGCGTCTTTGGTTTTGTTTTATGACATCCATTTTTGGTTGACCAACCCTAGAATTTTCTAAGAGCGCCTTCGGTGCCAATATATACTATTTTTGAAGGGGAGCGCGCGCTAAAAAAACGCCAATTTTGGTCAAAACTTTCCAAAAAGTGCCCCAAAACTGCATTTTTGATACCTTTTTCTCTCGGTCAAAATAGGGTCTTTATAGTGTCCTCAGAGCGCTCGTAAAATCAGTTTGGTTGAGCTAAAAAAAAAGTCAACAAAATGTTCGAAATTTTTTTGAAAATCCGCCCATCCCCCCCCCCCCCGAGAAAATCCTAGATCAGCCCCTGCATTAAGGAAGACCTACATAAGGTGCTCATTTCTAGGCTTCTTTCTCAGTTGAATGGCAGAAAAAAAATCCTAATTCATTTGTATACAGAAAAATTAATTGATTAGTGTTGAATGACATCAGTTGAGATTGATCTTTTTTAGGACAACCACGCGACCTTAAAGGGTTGTCTTTTGATTTTCAGAAGCCCTAGAAAAGTAAATTAATTGATTTTTGCATCAGCTGCAATTGCAAATTGCAAATAAGCTGCAATTGACGTAACAGGTGTCAAAACTTTATTCTCAAGAGACACCAACATGTAAAATTACCACTAAACAGTTTCTTCTTTCTTCCCGTGTTCAGAAGTCTTTTGCAAAAAAGTTGTGCAAAGGGAACTTAATGGTCTTAATATCACGCTAGACTACAATACTTAATGAACTAATTCACTATCCCCTAGTTTTGCTGTTTAGTAAAACGTGTAAAGAAAACCGATTACCTCGTTCAATTGAAATTCGAAATCTTTTCGAAAGCATTGACGACATTGACGTAGCAGTTGAGAAAGAACAACCTTACCCGGATAACCGGAGTTTGACTGTAAGTTTTCTAATGTCAGTAAAAAAAATTTTGCGGACATGACATCACTGGTTTATGCAAATGGATGGTAAATGCAGCTGGTTTTTGCGTGGAAAGTTTTTGCTGGGAAATTTTTGCCTTCTTTATTTTCTGATTCGTTTGTTAAGCCAAGTTTTCATTCAAATCAATCATAGCTTGCATATATTCATACGGAGCTTTAAAATTGTCGTGGCTTTGTTTCAGATATCTTTTTTGACATAGAAATTGCAAAAATTGTTTTCTTATAATAATTTTGCTATGTCGTTTGACTTTCAGACGCGGATCTTGTGTTATTTTGAGCGAAAAGATCTTCAAAACAATTCGAAACTTTTTCAAGAATTTTAAGGTCGAGCAAATTAAGTTTTTGAGTTTCCAAAGCACGAAAAAATCCAATACAAAGAAAATGTTATAACAAAAAAACAGGCTAAGAGACGTTTCTAAGCACTTTTGAAGTGTTTTTCGTGCAGCAATTCATGGAATCATTCATCGAAATTGAAATGAATCTCGAAATATTCCCAAAAACGAGCCATAAAAAGTCCATAATCTTTTTTGCGTATTCCGTTCTTTCTAAATAAACAATGATTTTCTGGAGCAAAAAATAGTGCTAGTGTAATAAACAGATATAGCAACAGACGAAAAATCAAAACGTGACAACATTTGAAATGTTCTTTTCTGAGCAATATAATCTACTTTTGGAAAAAGTTCTTTAACAAAAACTTGTTCAATACGATCTCTGAGTTAAGCTTACTCATCCTGATGATTTTTGACGAACCAATATCATTGAAAACCGCCAAAAACTTTAAATGAAATGAGCTACATTTCTCATACCAAGATATTTTTTCCTAGGGTTGTCAAGTTTAGCGCCCTGATTCTGGATCAATTTATTTCGCTTGGAGCTTCGCTCAAAATTTCATTTAATGTAATGTCAAATTTCATGATTGTTTAAAATTAGGGTCTTAAATCAAATTTGTATGTCGTTAAAGTTTAATACGGAACAAAAAACGTTCAAAACAATCATTTAGAAAACGTTGATACGAGTAGCATGATAAGAAAAGTTATTTTTCAATTCTGTGCTTCAATTTCTTCGCCAAAAATCATGCTTTAGATCTTCAAAGATCATCAAAATACTTTCAATGACAGTCTTGTTTTTTTGAGTTTTGCTTCAGCAGCGATCAATTAATCTACAGATTTATACAAAAGCAAAACATAACTGAATTAGTGGAAATGAAAAAATTTTGATAACAATATCATTAAAAATTGCTACTTAAACTGCCCTCTATTTTCTGCAGGCGCCTTAAACTTAATTTTTTCGGGGTAGAAATTTCTATTCATATCTTTCTTTTTCAATTTGTTTCCTCAGAATTCATTGTTTTCACGATCAATTAGGCAGAAAATTTTTCAAA